TCTCTTCACTTGACCGATTATGAGCAAAGAGTCATCGTATACATTAAGTTTGCTTATCTTTATCTTTAAGGCTATTTCTAGGCCATGAACACATGCTTCATACTCGGTGATGTTATTTATGCATTCAAACCGTAACATGATTGCCATAAGGAACTGTCTTCTTTTTGGTGAAATCGGGATCGACCCGATACCATTTCCTAAAACATTTATAGCCCCATCAAAATATAAGACCCACATATCATCCTACAACCTCGCTTTTCTTTCTTAACCACCATAATCTGTTTCATCGGGAAAATCAAATCTCAAAAGGTCATAGCCGTACATTGCATTATCTCGCTAAATGATCCGCTGACACTTCCTTTTATCGTCTTTTTTGTCATGTATACAATGTCGTATTTAGATAACATGACTTGCCACCTTACAATCCGATTGGACATGTAGAGTTTCTCAAAGATGTACTTAACAAGATCCATTTTTGAGATTAGCCAAGTGGTTTAATAGAGCATGTACTTGTCCGAGCCATCGTGCACACCATACTAAATCACAACACATCATCTCCGGTGTACTTGTATCTCGACTCGTAATCAATGAACTTTTTACTCAAATAGTATATGGCCTATTCCATCCTTCCCGAGTTATCTTGCTGACCCAAGACACCTCCCATGGTCATTTCTATCATTGACAAGTACATAATTAGTGATCTTTCCGGCATGAGCGGTACCGGCGGTGATGGGTTTTATAAATATTGCTTGATCCGATCAAATGCCTCATGACATTCATCATTCCATACACCAAGATTTTTCTTTCATAATAACCAGAATATTGGCTCATAAGTGTTAGTTAATTGAGAGATGAAGCGAGCAATATAATTCAAACAACCCGTAAAGCTTCGACTTCTTTCTCAATTGACGATGGAGGCATGCTCGGATGGCTCTAACTTTATCGAGATCAACCTCAATTACCTTATTGCTTATTATGAAACCAAGCAATTTTCCTAACTTCACACCAAAAGTGCATTTTGCGGGATTCGACCTCGGTCGATATTTCCTCAATCTCTCAAATAGTTTTCTTATGATTATTGTATGATTCTCCTCTTCTTTAGATTTAGCAATCATATCATTTATATATATTTTAACCTTTTTATGCATCATGTCATGGAATAATGTAAACATGGCTCTTTGGTAAATGGCCTCGGTATTTTTCAATCCAAAAGGCATAACCTTATAGCAAAAAGTCCCACGAGGAGTGACAAATGTCATCTTACGCTTGTTATTTATTACCATCTTGATCCGATTATACCCTAAAAATCCATCCATGAAGGAATAAGTGGCATTTTTTACATCATTATCGACTAGGACATCGATATGTGATAAAAGGGAAGTCATCATTTGGATTGGCTCTATTCAAATAACGATAATCCATACACATTCGAGTCTTTTCATCTTTCTTACCCATTATAACTATGTTCGACACCCACCGAGGGTATTCAACCATTTTTAAAAATTCGATATCCCATCGCTTCTCGATCTCTTCTTTTATTTTCAACGAGTACATCCAACCTTATCCTTCTCAACTTCGGTTTATTGGTTTGTACCTCGGATTTACAAGTAATCTATGCTCCACTATCTCGATATCTAGCCTTGGCATGTCGGCATATAACCAAGCAAATACATTAGAGTATTCTCCGAAGAGTGAAATCGAGCTTTCTTTTTAAGCATTTTCCATTTTGGTCCCAACTTTTAGCTCTCATATGTTCACATTAGTCCTAATATTTATCATTTCTAACTCATCCTGATGCGGCTTGATAGAGTGTTCTAATGATTCTACTAGTTTTGTGAATTCTTTTATGCCATCCTCTCCCCACTCTCCTTCATCCATCGTAGTTAAAAGTTTCATCAAATTTAGGTCAATAATTTTTAGTCCAAGCATTTTCATTTTTAAAGAGGTAATCATAATGTATATCCCCGAAATAAAATAAAAATGCAAATAAAGGGAAGAGAAAAAGAAGGCAAACAAGACTATTTCAAAATAAAATTCTACATAATTTGATGTATTATTATTATAGATGAATAAAACAAGGCTCCACATCAAACATTTCGTTCCATGATTCGAGCTAGAATTCAACTAGAAGGTCAAAGAAAAACATGATGAAAAGAGATTTACTCGGCCTTGTAGACGATCGGCACTTCCTCCTCGACCAATTTGTAACACCCCCGCCCCAATCATATTTCTACTACCAAAGTAGGGTACTTGGACAAAGCGCGTTACGTTGACATACTTTAAACTCTAAGTAGTGTTCTTATGATATTCTTAGGACTTTAATAGTACATTACGTATATAACTCCTTAAGATAAAATTTATATAACATAATTAAATACATTAATAAAACATTACGAGCCATATTCAATTTCTCACAAACTCCATACCTTAAATTTACGAGATAAAATAAAAACTAATATATGGTGCCTCACATGAGCCGAGTTAGGAGGAGCCGACCGCATCGATACCAACTTATCCTTTTTCTGTCAAGACATAAAAAAAATAACAACGAGGGTGAACCGAAGCTCGGTAAGTAGGGTGATGCACGTGATATGCAATGTTGTTTTGACTTTCCACCATACTCATAAATTTTAATCTCGGGTACCTTAGGTATTAGCCGATCTACTCTATTTATCATCCGAGTGGTCCGCAGATCACCTTCCGCTACAACGGAATTATCCCTCGTTATAACTACGTTAGCGGGAATCCATCATCTAACGAGTGCAAGCACACGACTTGATTCATCCGGATGATCCTCGGATCATCTTCTCGCTACAACGGAATCATCCCTCGTTGTAACTACTATTAGCGGAAATCCATCGTCTAATAGTGCGGGCACACATCTTAGAGTACTAGACTACTAATACCCATTTATTCCGAGTTAGGTTATCAAACCTAGATGTATAAACCATTTCTCAATCAATTGACTTGTCTTAAACCATCCACTATGCACATGATGGACGTGATGACATATTTAATCACATTCAACCAAATTCGGGTACCAACCCTTCATTCTCATGCCATACTCATGGTCCAACCCACACTCGGAATTTATCTCGTTGCTCACATACCAATCATGATACCCACAGAGAGAACACAATCTCCGCTCATTAATATTGTTCATTAGTTTCATTAATATTTAAAAGAAGGTCCAAGTCCATTTACTTTAATCCGAGCCCATTAACTTTATCCTAGGTCCATTGAATCTATTTAATTCCATTTTATTTAGTCCAAGCTCATTTAGTTTGTTCCAAACCTATTAATTTTGTCAAAATCTAATTTTTTTTGTTTTAGGGTTTATTACCGGGCAAATCCTAATCAAGTAAATAATTTTTTAATTTTAGAACATAATTAAATCTTACTCATTTTATTTTAGATACTAGAAATATTTATTTATAACATATCCAAAAATTAGATCTAAATACCAAGTACATAATTAATTATAAATTTTTGAAACTTAGGGAGCAATCTGCCTAATAGTAGTTTATCTAGAGCTATCCATACTAAATCGGGTGTAACTCTTTGTACACAAATCCAATAACCAAGAAATTTTAAAGGAAGTTATTTGAAACATAGATGAACAACTTTTAGGCTTTAAGTTTTACCTAAAAATCGATCTAAAATCCTTGAACATACACCCCAAAATTCAGACAGAATTTACTCCTTATCAACACTAATTTATTAGTTCATTCCAAGCCAATTTTAAACATGTTTTAGTTCACTTAAATTTAGTCCAAGTTTAATCCAACCCATCACCACATACTTGGACATTTTTCAAAAAATCATAACATCATAAATCATCACAGCAAGGCATCCATACATAGATTTATCCCAAGCATCAAACATATAACCATTGAAAATTATTACAACCCATGAAATAAACACTAACAAAATAACTTAAAAAAAATAATTTAAGACATTAATCAGCCAAAAAATGAAACCTGCTTACCTCTTTTAGGTTTGATTAGAATTTTCTGAGCTCTTTTTCTTTCCTTTTTCCCTTTCTCTTTCTCTTTTCTTTCTTTCTCTCTTTTTGCTGTTTTTCTCTCTTCAATTTGGCTTCTCTTTTAATTCTGGATGGCTACGATTTTTGGCCTAAAAATGGCAGCCATTTAACCCTCTCTTTCCCTTATATACTCACATTTTATCCTCTCATTTATTTATACCATAAGTGTTAAAATTTAACTAGGCCAAATGTAAAGTGGAGGAAGCTTGGAAGGCAAAGCTGGCATGTTTTGGAAGTTAAAGGTGATGATTTGGCTTCTAAGCATTTAATTCAAGTGCTTAGGTGGCTAAAGAAAAATTAGGATAAATAAAAAAATTAATAAGCTGGGTTAATGTAATTAGACAAAATTTCTTTCATAAAAAATTCAGAAATTTCCATTTTTAAAATTCAGAATTTCTTTTTCCTCAAAATTTCAGCAGTGTTACCTCCTAACCCATCTATACTAAAATATGCATAACTCTTTCTATATGTATCCAAAATTTATGAAATTTTATACAGAGCTAGTACACATATAGAAAAACAACTTTTATTCTTTACGTTTTTCTCAAAAATCAATCTAACAGCATCAAATAAATCTCACAAGATTCGGGCAGATTCTTCTCCCAAAATTCCAGCAGAATGCATTTCGAAACAACCCTCACTATAATTGGTATACCTCTTAATGTATAGGTCTAAATATTATAAAATTTTATACAGGCCTATTAAACCCATAGATAAACAACTTTCATTCTTTAAGATTGACCCAAAAAGTACTCTAAAGTCCTCAAATAATTCACACAAAACTCGGGCAGAATATAGTCCTTAAAACACTGATTTTGTTTATTTGATTTCTTTAATAATTAAACCATTAATCTTAAACAAAATAACTCTAATTTAACATAAATCACATATTTCAAGCATTAATTTCTCATGATGAAATGAGAATTATACTTACTCTTAATATACATATATATAGAATTATTCTAATACACGTCGCGTTACGGATAAGGGTTTTTACGGGGTTACACGGTTGGTCAGCTCCTCATTTTCGACACACTTTCAAACAATTTTCTCGATGTCAAAAAGCTTTATATTGTTTTCGTTGAGTTGTGGAAGGGTCACCACATCAGATCCAACTAGCGATGATGATGGTGATGTGTACCGATCACTTTCCCAAGTCACTGCTGCCCCTAAGGTGTTGATTGTTATGTCATTGAAGATGTGACCCAAGCCAAGATCCTCATCACCCATGAATGCCACATACGAAGGTCGTGGAAAGGTGGTGTAGATATGAGGGATATCAATGTCTCCATAATCGGGATCTCACCCTTCAATACGGGCCAATCTCTTCTGTCTCTTCAACTCGGCCATCCTCTAATAGTCCTTCCTAGATGACTTGTACCCCAACCTAAAATGTTGGTCGGTCATCCCTAACTTTACATGCTTGCACTCATCCAATAGGCAATTCTCCATATAGAACGATGGCAACCTAGCTCTTATCATGTATTTTCCCATCATTTTAACAACACTAGACAGACTTAGGACTTCTTACTTGTGATTTTTCTATGACCAATTCCACATTAACAATCTCAAAAGCATGCGAGCTCTCTTCATTGACTCCATCTCGCCTCAATGTAAGGGATCGCCACATTCTTAGCTATAGCCATAGCCTCTTCGACCTTCACGAGTAATTAGCTTCTCATTGGCTATATATTTCAGCCTTTGATGCGGTGAAGATGTGATTGCTTCTATCGCATGAATCCATGGCCTCCCTAACAACATACTTTAAGAAGGATGAATGTCAATTACTTGAAAGATGGTTTAAAATTGGTGTGGCCAATACATTGATGAATTTCTATATCACCAATAACTCGGTGAGGGGTGCCATCATAGGCTTATGCCATTATCTTACTCGGCCTCATATGTGAAGAATCGATTAGCGGATCGTCAAAGACATATTTTGACGAGTACATTCGAAGTAGATCCATTGTCAATCGGTACCTTCGTAATTACATGATCCTTACATTTGACGAGTGATATACAAAGCTTTATTGTGTCTAGTTCCTTCGAGTCCCAATTCAACCTCGGTAAAGTACAAATAGTTGGTAGCTTATACCCTCCCCACCAAGTGCTCCATTGAATCGGAGGTGATGTCTTATGGAACATACACTTCACTAAGCACTTTTTAAAGTGCCTTTCGATGAGGCTCGGAATTCAAGATTAGTGATAGAAGGGATATACGTGTTGGAGTCTTGTTTAATCGATCCACTACACTCGTACTCATTATGCTTCATCAATTTTAAAAATTCCATTGCTTTATCATCCTCAATCGGGTTACTTATCTCAAAATTTAACGAGGGTTGCTCAATTTTCTTTTCCTTGATAGCTTTTGCAACACCTTTTTCTTTTTCTACTCTTAGTTCTTCTAAGGTATAGAACCTTCATATGCATGTAACTCCCCTAACATCTATTGTCCCATCAGCATACATCTTTAGAATAGCATATGATTTACTAGAGGATCTATAGTTGTAAAGAATGGCCGGACAATCGATCTTCGCGAGGGTAGGCATTTTCGGAACCGGCTTTATAGGGCTCGCCTCGGTTGGCTCATATCCGAAGGGTGCGGAATTGTTAGTGCCTTTATCGACGGACAACACATTCACTTCGGCACTTTTTTTTCTTTCTCTATCCTCAAAGTCCTTAATAACAAGCATGGTTTGGACGAGTTGATGGAATTCGAGTGTAGTCATCCATGTTGTGCCTCCTTGTCCGGTGAAACTTATAGCACTCGTTTTAGATTAACAAAAGCTTGCACTTCAAAAGGTTTCATGTCAACGCCCCAAGCATTCATCAAGTCGAACGATCCGGCTATAGAAATCTTCGGACTTGATCTTTTGCTATCGTATACCACATCATCACATGACACCATGTTAATTCTTTCAATTCCAAGTATGATTTAACAAGCAGATTCGAATTCATATTTGGATAACTAAGTGTATCCTCAAATGTGATCCACCCTTGGTTTATCAATAACTTTACCTTTTTTTTTAAACCAACACAATCCTCAATGTTGTGGCCTATTACACCACCGTGATACCCAAAAGTCTCATTTTTCCTATACCATCTTGGATATGGTGGTTGCAATAGAGGTATCCGAATTAGAGCCACCCGACCGATGGCCATCGAGTGTTTAAATAGGTCTCTTAGGGAGATGGAAAGTGGTGAAAAGATGTTTTTATACTTTACCCTTTTAGTATTCCTCTAATCATTTTAATTGAAGGGAGCTCGTTGATTATTGAACTGTCCGAAGGCTAGTGAATTTTTAGGAACGACTTGCATCCGAGGTCGTGTAAGGATTAGAGACTCGGGTTGTCAAATCGATGACATTGGTGGGCATGATAGCTCTTAGCGTTGTGAATTGGAAGACAAAACTAACCATATCGCCTTGTGGCATATATTGACTGTTTGCTCTCCACGGGGCCTCCCAAAGACCTTTTGGTAAAAAATTAGCCCTTCAACTTGATGAACACCTACTTCTTTTCTTTTCCTAAAATTATTCCTTTTGGAACTTGACTTGACGGAATCTAACACTCTTTCTCGCTTTAATGGCTTGCTCAATATACTCGACCACGGATAATATCTCAACGAAACTATTCGATCAATTGCTTAATAAATATTCATAATAAGATGGCTTGAAAGTATTTATAAAAAGAATGACTAACTCCTTCTCTAGCAATGGTGGTCGAATTCTTGAAGCTTTTTCCTTCCACCTTTGAGCTTACTCTCCGATTGACTTTTTGGCACCATTTTCCATTGATCGTAAGCTAGACTTGTCCGGAGTTATTTCTAAGTTGAACTTGTATTACCTCATGAAGGCCTTAACCAAATCTCTCCACCTTTTGATCTTAGTCTTATCTAATTCGAGAAACCATGTAAGGGCGGATCCCTCTAGACTTTTAGGAAAAAAGTGGATTAGAAAAGTTTCTTTATGGGCTACTTCAATCGTCTTATTCAAATATACCTTCAAGTGGATCCTCGAGCACCGGTCGTCGGTATACTTAGGAAACTTTAGGAGCCCGACTTTCTTCAAATCACCACATTCGACATAAAACACTTGTCCATTATTAAGAGAGGGTCATACACATCTACAACTTCGATGGTCCGAAGTCGCTCTTTAATGACAATGAATTTTTCAACTTTAAATTTAGTAAACCTCTTCTTCCTTCCATAATCATCAGCCGTTAGATCAATTTATGCCTCCGGCGAGAGGACATGAATTTTCGGAGGGATCGGCTCGTGTATGTCTCTCGACATTGAGGTATTGGTCGACTTATCAATGGTGGGGTTCCCTTGCCGAGGCATGACAAACCGATGAATCCGAGATGTCTATTAGGAAATCGATGGAAGGATGACAAATGTAGCTTCGGAGGCAACAACAAATGATTAACCTACCACCGAGGTTGAGAGACGACGTGAGAGTAGCTCGAGCTTGAATGCTCTATTCAAAAAGGGTAGTAAGCCTCGTAACTTCTTCCTTCAATGTTGCGATCTCTTATTGATAAGTTTGCTCCAATCAAGCTCTTTTCTCGTTTTCTATTTTCACTCTTAGTTTGGTCTTGTAAACTATTGGAGGATGTGTGGTTTTATCGACATGACCTATATTTACGCACATAAAAAACAGCAACAAAGTACGGGATATGAATAACATATTACATGAATAACATATTAGTAATATATACGATATTCGAGACTCGGATATAGAGTAGCCATCCATGAGGAGTGACAAAAGAGCTCCTTTTTTTTTCTCGTTTTGGTGAGCTTGCTCATGGTTGGTTTAATGATATGTTTCCTTACATTAGTAACCATTGGATTTCTTCCATCTTTTCAATTTAAGAGTAACCATCCGGCCTATCAAATTCTTTATATAGTTGAGGCTATTTCATTAGATAGTACGAGTTGATATCATTTGCTAATGTGATCATTTAGTAAGGTCGGTGCTCCCAACTTGTTAAATGAGTTTCAATAATCATAACAAACAACTCTATGTATAGAAAGATGTCGAAGCTTTTATTAATCGAATATTCAAAATGATGAGCACGTAGGCTCTAAATACTTCATAGTACATCTTTCTTTTACATAACAAAAAGAAAATATAACCGAAGATGAAACACATACAAATAGAGCTAAATTGCTAGGTAGCTCCATCAAACTCCAAAGATCTTCCCTCATCTAGCCATTTCAAATAGCAGAAAGTCGGTTCTCCTCGGATAGTCGATCGGAGATTCATTATAATCTCTCACTCTATGCTCACCAATGGCCAAACTTAGCTCTCGTAGAGCTATAACTTCCTTGAAGACCTCATTTGCTTGATTATCTAGCACATCCAAGTTTTTGCCTCGCTCATTACCGACTTAAGGCAAGTTATTGTGTATGATAGCTCGGTATGAGGACAACTCGAAGTACCTCTCATTTTAGATGTCAATTCTCTTTCTTAAGTGCTACAATTTGGCTTTACATCTCCGTTACTTGCTTTATCGAGCCTCGACGATTCGTCGCATTCAGCTTTGAGGGACATTTGCCACTTCATATTATTTTTTCCGAGTTTTCATATTTTTAAACCTAAACCCCTCAACTCAAACTCAATCTGTCTATCTCATGATTGTAGTTTGTCTAACTCGGCATATTTGGCATCTAATTCGCTTGAGCTTGATGATAAGCCGACTTTCAATATTTCTCTTCAGCAATTATACTTTGCTAGGCCTTCAAATCTTGCTCCGGATCTAGTATCTTTTCTTTATCCTTTTTTATCTTTCTTTTTTCCTCGGCTAGATCATTAGTTAGCTTTAAATTATCCATCTTGAGTAGCTCCATTTTTCTATTAAGGTCGTCATAATATGAGAGAGCCATTTCTAGAGGATCATCCACTTTTCTTTTTTTTTCCTGCGTGTTGGCTAGATGAAATGTTTGGAACTCATGGAGAGAGTGGTTTGTTTCTTTGGAAAGACTAACCCATTTCAACCTCGAACGGCTTAACGGGATCTATGACCACAATAGGGATCGAAAACTAGCTCGATGGTCAAGCATTGGAATTTGATTATCTTGACTCTGGTTTGCTTGATCACCTAAATCTTTTACTCTTGTGGCTTGCCAAGACGGATAGGCTTTCGTAGTAGCTACCTCATGACCATCTATTTTTTCACCCACCATACCCTGTGTAACTAGTTT